TTTCTGCAGTTGGACTATGGGTTGAGGGTTTTCAGCTGATTAACCCACTGTTTCTCCTATTGCGGAATTTCTTACTTGGCTTTTCAGATGCGGGTCTTCTGTCTCTTTGATCTCTGGTTATCGGGTGGCTTTGTCCCATTTCTTTAATTTTTCCTGATACTGTAGGGTATTTATCTCTCCTACCCTTTCCTTGTTGATAAATCCCTCCCCAATTTGTCATCCACCGTGGTGGGCTACCCTTCCAGACTGGGATGTTAATGGGGTACTTCACTGCCTCACTTTGCCTCTGTTCAAACCAATTTCTGCATGCTCTTTGTTTCACCTTTCCCTTAATAATTATTTCCTTCTTCTTCTAGCTTGTGGACAACGAGGTCTGATTTGTTTGCCATCAATGTTTCCCATACTCTTTATCATCCTACATATATCCCCCTTTATGCAAATCTTTCTCTCCTCCCTAAGATTTCGGCGGCTAGGGAGGTTAACTCCTCCTTTTCACCAATTTCCATACCCCACCTTTATCCTAGGCCTGATCCACATAGACTTCTATGTCTTATACATGCTCTTCGCTGTTATATTGCTAGGATGACTTCCTTCCATGATACCCATTCCCACCTCTTTATTCCTTGACAGCTCTGTTCATGATCATTTTCTTTCCACCCTCACCAATTAGGATCGGCTTTTGATTCGATTGGCTTATTACTCTTTATCGTTTTCATTCCATAATTTGTTCCAGGTGTCTTCTCATCAAATTTCACACATTACCCTTTCACTGATGTGTAATCTTCATTGTTCACTGGAGAAAATTTTTCAATCGAGTATTAGGTCTACTCCTAATATGTTCATCTCTCATTATTTGCATCGGATCATGGTTTCTTCCTCTTCGGGCTATCGTCTTTGTTCCAGGTGTGTTCTCATCAAATTTGACACTAACCTTTTCTCTGGCATCTCATCTTTGTCATCTGTTGGAGGAAATTCTTCAATCATGCATGTGGACTACTCCTAATACTCTCATCTCCCATTATTTGCATTGGATCGTTGTTTCTTCCTCTTTAGGCTATTGTCTTCCACCTGTAGCCATTCTTCAGAATTTGGTGAGACTTTTACAAGGTAATTTCTCTTTTGTTATTCTTTATTTTATTTTCAGGGGCCTTATTTCCCTTTTTATTATTATTACTCATTGTTTGGATGCTGCTCTTTGGTGAGTGGTGCCTGACCAGGTATTCTTTAACCTTTCAAGTCCACACTGTTGAGTCATGTTGACTTGCATATTATAATTTCATGGCCATGCAACACACATTGCAGAGTTGGGGTGCTCAACAAGATCGCTTGTAGGTTTATCCTCATGATAGAATTGCTTCATAAGTTTGCCTGTTCTGGACTGTACCCATCCATAGACTACATGGGTAAAGCAGAAAGTGATAGTGCCCATCCTTGCCATGCCTTGTATCAAATAAATTAGTATGGTCTGCTTGTAAAAATATGTTTCTTGGTCACCCATTACACTGTCTCAGGTGTTGTTGTTCCTCCTGACTCTCCATTGCATTTTACTTGCCTTTTCTTCTAGTGGAGTTTAGAGTTCTTACCACTTTCCATTTCCAAGCTGCTGGTGTGGTGGGCTGTGGAAGAATCATCCTGAATGTGTTAATGAAATACAAACAAAATATAGAAATGATAAAAAAAACATTCAGTTGAGAGTATGGCAGTGGTGTAGATGATGTAATGTCCTCCACTTTGAAACTTAAAAACTAATGGGAGAGAGATGTCAAAATGCAGTTCACCCCTTCAATTGGAATCCCTCATCCTACCTCTACATGGATATAGAGTAGAACCAATCAAAATAAGTCCTTAAACATGTATTACAGATGTCTATATTCCTCCCTCTTTTATAATCTATCAGTGTTGTGGGTCATAGTAGAAGTAATAGTGGATTGTTACAGTTCTTTCCCTTCTGCTATCCCCCAATGTTATTCCAAGGATGTTACTGCACTTGGGGTGGTTCTGGTCAATTTCGCATTCAAAGGAAATGTTTTACATAATGTAGACATCTTTTTGATACCAAATGTCAGGTTCCCAGATCAATCTATCAGTTTACCATATTCACAAGTGCCTCACTCATGAGTCCAGGGGTACTAGATTCCCTCCGATCTCATGAACTTGAGGTGAAGATGGTATGATCCTGTTTCCTAGCCTGGCTAGATGGGCTGGGTTTTGGATTGTAGTTGACTTACTGATGGTATGATCCTCATCCTATCCCCTCATGGATGTCAGTCCCTGGCGGCATGGGTTTTAGATGTAGTTGACTTGGCGTGTACGGTCTGTTGTGCCCTAGCCACTCCACGCCAAGGGGCACATACTTTTCATTTTACCCACTTTTACGCTTTTTGGGATTGAGTTTCATGTCTATTGCAGGGTTCAGATCACTTTCTGGGCCATAGTTCTCTTCCATTTGGATGTGCTTCTCTGTTTTCTGCCCATATATGCGACATCTTTATATGGTGTGCAAAGAGTATATATGGTCCAGAAGTGGTGCGTTTCCTCACATCAGATCTTCAGATCATACTTGTAATGCAGCATCCCCCTGTGGGTCATCACTAAGTTTACAGATTTCAAATGCTAAAATCCAGGATTTTGTCACCCATGGCAGACAGAGTGCAAATGGCCTATTGTGTAGGTGTACACTTAAACACATAGCAAATTTACATGTAGCTTTGCATGGATGTAACCAAGGTGAGTCTTTGTGATTTATTCTGTTCTGGATGATTTCTGTGCAGACTTTTGGGGATCATCCCAGATATTTCTTTATATATGGATCCTTTTTTTCATGTGCCTTGAGTTCATCAGATTCTTTACTCTTTTTTTCTTTTATTCCTCATCATGATTCACCCTTATAGTTTTTATTTTGTATCTTGAAGTTTCAGGCTTTTTCCACACCAAAGGGATATTGATTAATGATACCTCCTAGTTGTTACTCTCATCATTTTGTAGTGACAAAGACTGATCATAACTCTGTCTGGTCTCATTTGTTGTCTAGATATTTCTTGTTTTCAAATGGACTCTATAAAAATATTGTAACAAATTCTTCATTTAGGTTTCTGGATGACAAATGGAGTTTCATATTTCTATTATATACATGTACTGATTCACCCATCTTCATTTTTCACATTATTGAACGAGTTGTCCATTTTGTGTGAATTAGACACTACTTACTCACACATGCAATAGTTCCTTTTATTGGTCTCCCAGATACATTCAATATGAGTTGTCATCCTTACATGGATGATCAGAGGTTTTTGGCTTAGTGGTTGCTCTGCACAGAATTCTTTTTCCAGTTCACTTCCTCTGTGTTGGACTGTTCATGAGTTCATGTCTCAGCTAGTGCCGATTTAGTACCTTGTTCATCTGAGATTTTGCATTAAAACTTTCCCTTGAGCTTTACATCCATTTCCTTGGGCATTCCAACCCTACATGTTTTGGGTGTACAAACTTCTCCTTCTGCCAATCACATGCTCTCTGATTGAGGATTGTTGTATTTTTCTTTCAGTGGTAGATACCCCATAATAGAAATATTTTGATTATTTGGATCCTTGGAATAATTAAAACAGTAATGATTGGGAACATTAATTTTGATTAATAGTTTTATGATGAGGAACCCATTTTTCAGAAAATAAAAGTTTGGAGATGGCTTGAATGGGTAATGAAGAAAACTGTATTATAAATGTACAATGTTTTGACAAGATTGTTGTCATCAGTTACAAGTACATTGTACGTTTATAATAAAATTTTCTTCGTTATCCATTCAAGTATTTCTTCATTACCCATTTGATTAATAGTTAAATTTACCTGGCAATGTTTGTATGTAACCTAGCTAATTTTCCAGCTCTGTGCTGAAAGCCTTGGTAGCAGGATCCACAGAATTATTTCTAGCATTGTAGTGTAAGCCTCAGTTATCACTTAAAATGTGCTTTATAAGCAGAGCTGCTGATTTGAATGCCATCTAATCCTAATTTTTACTTCTTATTCGTATACTTTTTTTATAGTAAAAGTCAAGCTGAGTGTAAAAGACAAATTCTGGCAGTATAGGCTAGATTTTATCATGCTTACCAATAGCTATAAGTCATCTCATAGAAAACAAAGGAAGACTCTTGGTGGAATAAAAATTCACCTAGTAGTTTTATACTAGTTTACTCATCAGTGTATGTTATTTTTCTGTGATTGAACATATCTGAATCTGAATTATTTTCATTTTAAAATAGATGATAAAAATAAAAACATATCATTATATATTTATTGTCCAAGTATAAGCCTAAACACAGCATTAATTTATCCTATGTTAAGTTGAGATTGTGTTCATAATTAGGCATTTAAAGTTAATCATAAAACACTTTTGAAATGCTGTAAATGTAATCAAAATCATTTGATATTTCTATCCTGGTTTGTTTAGTGCACTTGAAATCAGCCAATGTTCTGATTGATAAATTATTATGAAGACACCATTAGATACATCAAAACTTGAAACCTCAGTTAAAGCTATTCCTAGAATAAATTTCTCTCGTACTGTTAAAAATTTATTTTCTGGTTATAAAGACATTAGTGTCCACAACATGGTAACAATTTTTATTCATTAAGCTGGAAATAATACAACAGTACTGTCTATATGACTTGTGTAAAAGCAGAAGCAAGAATTTTATGACCGTAAATTACTTTACAATATACTTAGTAATATTTTTAGAAGAATCTTAACATGTTAATAATTCAGACACTTTAAAATCAGGGTATAATGATTCATTTCTTGAAAAACATCAGGTAGACTGCATTAAAATACAGGAATATACCATAGTTTTAAATGTTTTTTTTTATTATTTTCTGTTTACTGTATGAAAATAATCTGACTTGCAGTATGAGATTTACTTTTTCATACATTAATATATAAATTAACCATATGTTGATTAGATCTTAACTCCTGTTTTGAGCTATTGAACATTCTCTTTTCATTGAGACAGATATTCAAAGAACGAGAGGAAGATTTGAAACGTCTCTCAAGGCCTTTAGAATGTACCTGTTTCCGCACATCAATATGGGATGAAACTCTTTACAAGGTCTGTTTGTTTTTTGCAGTGTGTTTATTATTATTACAAACATTATATTCTAAAACAGTGTTATAAGGTTTTCAGTACTGATATAATTAAGCTACCAAAATTAAATTTAATGTATTTCGAGTATTTGGTTTTAGTTGAGATTTTCAAGCCTGGCTGTGTATAATTTACAGTTTGAATTTTTAAAATTATTTTGTATTTTTTTAACTACTTATTTTTACGTAATAATATATAATGTGATTTTCTTTGTTGTATATGTTATGTATACCAATTTAAAACATTTTTTATATTCCCAGGCATGGTCTTCCATTGTCTACACACTTATTCCTAATGTCCAGCAGTTAGAATCCAACCTTCAACATTTTGCTGAAATCATTGATGCTGATGAGGTTCTCTTGTTTGAAAGGGCAACATTTTTGGTGAGATGAGAAATTACTTATAGTAAAGTAGTTATTGAAATACATATTTTCTGGTCTTTACATGGGCAAAAAGTGACATACTTCTTGGTATATTTTATCAGTTTATTATATTTAATCACATTATTGGTTCCACTGTCATGTATAAGTGGATGATATCTTGATTTTAAATGAGTGACCTTAATTCTAGAAGCCTATAATAATAATAACAGTTGTGTTAACTCTACTAACACGGTTCTTCCTATGATCACGCATCAAAGGCCATGACATTGTGTTTGGAGACTCATTCAAAATTTTTTGAACTACTATTTTATGAATGTATGTCAATACGTTTGGTATCAAATTGTAGATTATAATTCGAATTTTAGTATTATACATTAGTTAATTTCTTCATTTAAAAGTACATATTAAAAAAAAACACCTAAATATCGATTTTTTTTTGTGCTTCACGTGGTATGTTGAATGCAGAATGGTTCAAATTAGATGTTTGTGATGTCCAAATACAAAGTC